CGTCAACGGCGGCATAAATCGATTGCGAACGTCGTCAAACAAATGCACCAAGTCTCATTTATTACGAGGAACCCTCGGCAGAAAACGTGGCCCTTTCCAAAAGTTTGGGCGATTCTCAAATACGAGGGGTTTACGCCATTCCCACGTGATCAAGAGCCTCGCAATTACAATTTTTGCTGTTATTTACAAAGTCAATGATCTACTGATCACATTTTATTTTCCAAACCCTGTCTCATGAATAAAATTTGCAGGAATGGGTATGAAGAAGGCGAATACCTTGAATTAGGAAGAAAAAACGCCATAAAATTGTCTTTTGGAGCTGGTTTGGAGATAAGTTCCCGAAAATTAGATTTAAAATAAAACTTCAAACTCAACCTCAGTCAAATAAAGAGCGATTTATTCCGAAATTATGATGTAACTCATCATTTTTCTACGTTTTCCCCAAGCACAGCTTTGCATAAAATATAATTGCTCGCGCAGAAAATTATATTTGATTCTGATGATCGATTGACACACGAGATTTAAACCAACGTGGAAATATTAACCTGTTATTCCCTTTCTTAAAATTCCTAATTGATCCGATGATTCAGTAATATCAATTCAATCAACCGATGAATGATTTACCGAGGAAATTAAATGCGGAAATTAAGCTGTTATTCCCTTCCTCGAAGTGCTTAATTGAACCAATGATTCAATCACAGACACTTTCAATTTCAAAATGTTCAGAAAACGTGCTCAATCTTAATTTTTCTCTCAATATAAAAAAAGGCAAAGATAAATATTCCTCTCGAGCGCTTCAATCGCCAATATCATTTGAAAACTTTTCTTTTCACTTCAGAAAATTTCGTCCGATATAAAATGTTGAAATATGAATTTAGGAAAGCCCTCGTTCATGCTTTTCCCCTCCTCCCCCAATAACACACCAGCACCTTCAGTTTCCTTTCCGCATGAAACAGGAACCTCGTCTTCCTCGTCATTTCGTCGCCCGCAACACCAGAAACACTCAGTTTCAATCATCACGCAGGTGCGAGGATTCCCAACAAGTTTCCGGTGTCACGACGACAAGCAACAAGTGCAAGTCGGTGTCGGAAGTTCCCGAACCAGTAAAAAAGAAAAACACGCATGTGCCACTCGACACATCGACGATTACACTTCCTCCCACTCGACTTGGAAAACTGTATCGCGAAAAAAAAATCAGGAAGTAAGTCAACTAAGAATTTCTGAAGTAAAAGACGATATACAAATTCCTTTTTTTTATAGAGCAAATGTTCCTTGAATGTATCAGAATTTTTGCGTATCAATCGAATGAGTAAACTTGCAAAGAAAATTTTTTCGTCCAAAACCTCATAAAAAATTAATGAAGTAGACGTTTCGGGAAACGTAATTTTGACTTCATTCAAATCCAAAACCTAATTCAATGCACTCACTTTTTTTTTTTTTTTTAAATACTAACACGAATTATGTGCATTACTAAAACATAGGAAAAGTCTCACAAAAAATACTTCCAAGACTTCTAACGACACAACATCACAAAATATGAATCATTTTGACTTGAGCAATCTTTTCAGAAAAAGTAAGTTCCACTCGGGAGCACCGGGGAAATTAATTTTGGCATTCTTACCTCGGAATTCACAGACGGCATCGAAAAGTCCTCGCTAAGTTTTGAAACCCAAACTTGCACGTCAATTACATACGGTATTTTTTCATTAACAAACGTCTATCTGCGCAATTTTGACACACAACTTTCCCTCGCAACCCTCGACTTTAAAACCTCAACAATTCCCACGTAAAACACCACATGGCCTTTTAGCCGTTCGAGTTCTCCGCGTCAAAACACGTCGAAGTTCAGTAGAAATTACGTGGATCCACCGAATAATGTTTTAAATTCCCTAATTTTATCTCGTAAATCTTTACATTTAACAAAAGAAAGAGAGAGACACATGACGTATACAGAACACCGAACATAAACCACGCACCGAAACGCTCGCTTTCTTCCAGCAACAAAAGACAATCTTGAAAGGGAGCCAAAAATACTCCATTCAAAAGAGTAAGCTAAAAATTAGAACGCCGGGATGATGAAAAAATAAAAAAAAAACTGCACGAATTCTTCGAAAATTTTATGCCTGACCCAGGACATGAAACACATGAATAATTTTAGAATCAAAATTCAAGGGAATTCTTTTGCATCTCTCTATAATACGTCTTGCAGAAGAGTTTCTCGCCATTCCCTCAAATTCTTTACTTAATGTAAAAAAAATACTCGTAGGATAATTGAAATAAAATTTGCAGGAAAATGCAAGGAATTTCAGAAGAGAGGTTATTTTCCGTAGAGTCCCACTCTGTTGACAGACGACGTTTACAATTTTTTTTTGAAACTCAGAATCAATTCAGCTCTAATTGATTTTAGGTTACGTTAATTGATTATTGGATTATGGATTATGTTATAATTCGTTGTATATTATTAAGTTACGCTTATTTAATGTTAGGTTATGTCACCCAGATTTTGAATAAGGTAACACTCATGGATATGTTGGGCTGCTTTACGTAAATTTTCGATGGAGTTAATTAGACGATAAGTCAGGTTCACAGGGTGGAGAAGACAGCATAAAAAATCAAGAAAAAAACCAAGAAACCAAGTTGGCCTTTTTTTTTCTCGGGAAACCTCTCCCGGGTTTCTGGGCAAATCAGCTTCCGAAAAAATCCATCATTCCGGAATTTCCGGGTGAGCTGGGGCAGAAATTTCGCGCCATTTCTCGAGCCCATAAATCAGAAACCCTCTCAGTGTCACTGATACGCTCCGTCTTTTTTTTCAATAACACATTTAATATATTCTTTCTCTCGCATCCGCTGAAATGTTTTCTCACTAAAAGGTCACAGGCCCGGAAGAAAAATGAGCCCGAAAGTCGAAAAGAACGACCTTTTGGTATCATTAAAGCTGCTGCGAGTCCGAACAGAGAAAATCGGCACTCGGGCTTTTCAACTCGCAGAAAAACACCGCCTTCTACACAAACGCCATCAGAACACAAAAGCGCTCAGAGAAGAGACAAGGTTTTTCCTTTTGCCAAATTCTTACAGCAAAAAAAAAAAAAGAGATGGTTCAGGGGGACAATAAAAAAAGCAGAAATGCCAAGGGTTCACTTTGAGCTCCTATGAAAACATAAACGGTTCCTGGCGACTCAAAGCAAAGACTTCACAAGGAATTTAGAGAAGAGCAAAATTGACGGCTGAAAGTTCTGTTTGCTTTTACAATGGATCCCACCGTTTTTGCTGAACAAGACACGCGAGAAATTGAGTTGAAAAAAATAAAAAATTGAGCTCAGCATTTGAGTCCCATTGTTTTAAAAACAGGGGTTTGGATGCGGGAGTCTTGGTTGTGCCTTGTGAACGCTGAAAAGCGGCAAATAAAGTTTTCTGTTCATTCATTCATTCAAAAACAATTGGTGAACAAAGATTCAGGGTAAAAAATAAATGTATTTTTTCCGCAGAAAGCTTACTCAAGACAGTAGCATGAACTGTCGTGAGATTTGACGATTCAGAAATAATTCTTTTCTTATCAACTTTGATGATCATCATCATCATTCAAACACGTACCTAAAATGTTTTTGAAAATTTAGCCAGCAAGGACATTTTGCGTAGTTCTCAATAACATTTCAGACTTTATGCCTCCGAAAATTAGGGTCAATGTCATGAATCACGAAAACACATTTGTGCAAAACTGTATTAAATTTTTTTTCTTTTATTCAGTAAAACGCTTTATCCCATTTGAAATGTACATATTCCTTCAACTTGATCATGAAACCAAATTTTTGAAAATGCACGTGACAAAGAAAATATTCTGGATATTCTCTGAAGAAAATCCACGGTTTTCCAAGGATTGAGATGATGAACCATTCATAAGCAGCAAAAAAATAGTGGTACCAGGGACAGACAATGACCCACGTAATGAATTTTCGCAAATTGAATTCTGAAATTCAGCACAGTATTTTTTTGTTTCATTAGACCAAGCTTCGGATAATAGACGGAAATGAAAGTTCTACATTTTTTGAAAATTTGTGAACGTGGCCTCACTTTTCCAGAAAATTCAAACTCTCTTCATTACGTCAACAATATTTCAACTCGTTCCAACATTTTTCTGCTGAACCTAGAGTCATTAGACATTTAATGACCAAGAAAAATGTCTCAAGGAATCCGGAACAGATTATCCATTCAATCCCTATATCTTGACGCTTTTTTTTATAGTCTCCAAACCGGAACCTATTAACCCTTCTACACGGCTTCCCCTCACTTTAGATAATGAGCTTCCGACCGGCACAAGATCCAAGTCCATTAACCGAGACACAACTGAAACAAGAATGTCACAAACTCACCGGAGAGCAGCTGATCGGTCCTTGAGTCCATTCCATTTCGCGTTGACATCATTCAAACGTTGGCTTAAAGCAGCCGCTTCTTCCGGGGTCTCCAAAGATTGTTGGATCTTCAGACCCGTCGTTGTCAGCGACGAATGTGTTTCTTTGTGCGAGTCAATTTCCGCCTGCAAATCCTAAAAAAAACAACAACAAAAAACCAGTTGACTTCACGAAACCCGGTAGACACAAAAAGCCGCAAACATTTCCCAAAAGTACTTTCCCCAGTAGTACCCAACCTTTCTCCGCAAAATCCCTCGCAACACTATTTGCACAAAAATGTTTTGCTGAAGTTTGACCTTCCGAAATGTTCAAAAGTCAACAAATAATCCGCGTCTTCAAAATTTTCCACGCGTGAAAATGTTAATGTTTATTAGTGAACGTTAACAATTTTCATGTTCACCAAGGCGAAATTAAAAAAGGGGAAATAGCCGGAATTCGTTGAAGATATTTTGGCAGTTTCACATCTTCAACCCTGAACGTGAGCCTCCACATTCGGCAATAATGTGACAAGATGAACTAATGGTTTGTCACAATTACAACGAACGTAAAGCTAAGTGGAAGTGAAAGCAAATTAATTCAACAAATATTTTTCGCGAAAAAGCATAATAAATTTCCCTAGAATAAGATCAACTACATTTCACCGAAAGATGATTTCAAACTCCGAAGCAATAATGTACCATCAAGTCATAATAATTCCATTTGCACGCTATGTTGATCGAAATATTGTATAAAACATACATACCCTCAAAACTGCATTACTTCACACATTTTTTCATTGGTCAGAATTAATTTTTTCATTTTCCCCGGAAAATGGGGCAAGGGATATTAAATAGCAAGATTAAGCTTTATACTCAGAACATGTAAATTGAAAAATTTTGATTGAAAGTATTTTTCAGTGGGATTTTAAATAAGGATCTACAAAAAAATACTGTACAGTAATTCCTTTTTGCAAACATGAATAGAATAAGGAGAATTTTATTCGTCATTTCTTCCAAGAGGAGGAGAAGTACTTAACCTCGACATCACATTTCAAAAGATGTACACTAAACTTTTTTCCACAAAATTCGAGTTTTTTTTTCAGCGCATGTCTCAGTACTTAGTCTCCAAAAATAGAGACAAGGTCCATCAATTGACTTCGCATAATTTTTGGTGAAATTAGTCTCGTTTGCTGGTTCACAAAGCTAATTTTCCCCATTCCAACCTGAAACGCCATTAAATCCAAAACATCACTGACTGTACACCAAAACCCTTCAAACTTTTTATTTTCTTGAGTATAGAATTTCCAACAATTGAGAAATTTGTCTTTCAGCAAAGTTAGTCTTTTGTTTGTCAGCAAAGACAATAGGGTTCGTACTATTAAATAACACTAATTTATTGGCTTCAAGGAAATAGAACAGTTTGCTCAACCCAAAGCATATCGTTTCCTCCGGGCCCCTAAATTGACGATTTACTTGTATTTTACACTTTAATTCTCAACATGCTGAACAATTCATCAAAACTGTCACAAATATCACGGAAAAATTATTCTATCGGTTGGCTTCGAAAAGATAGTCGTGAAGATCATCTGAGAAAATACAATCAGGTAGTGATGTATTTAGAAGCATACAAGAATACATTTTTTTCGTGTCACGCGCTTTCGGGATCTGCAGCAATGTTTCAACATGCCAAAAATGTGTTCCTCTCTAGTAACGTCGCCGAAAACTGAAAAAACATCGTTCCCACCTTAATAATGGCAATGACTCGTTTCCCTTCTTCAGTTGCTTGAGCCATTGAAACCAAAATCGGGAAGAACACTTTTCTCAATAAAAAAGATTCAGCATACTCCCAACTTGCAGCGAAAAAAAATTAACTAACAAAACATGACACCCAAGTGCAAATTTTCTTGTATATTCAAATGTAAGGTTTCGGAGAAGAATGACATATAATTAAAGGAATCCTGATGCGTACATAAGAAAAGTTGGGGCTTCAAATGCGAATTTGCATGATGCTGGCAGTGACATCTACCCACACGAATATGATTTTAAAATACTGTGATGGAATATGTATGGATAATTCGATGTGAAAATGTGAACGTTATCACCATGAGTACCAGTGACATTCACAAAAACTGAAATGCATTCAATTTACGAATTTATCGCTGCGCAGTAAATTTTTGCGTACCCAAAAGTTCATGAACGAGAAGCTCAGAGTTCTAAGCATATTTCAGACAACCAATTATCTTTAAACTCGTCGTCGCATGGAATTCCTCATCGACACGTCAAGAAAAACCTTTCCGAAAATTTTCAGCAACACTCATTCATCCACTTTTTCCACGTTTTCGGCACGAATTTTTTTCACACTCACAGCTCGTCTGGCTGCACATTCGACGCCAACTAAATTTAAACTTCACCCACGAAAAACGCGTGAAAATCTGGCGCGAAAATCCTCGCCACAGAACCAGATTTTTTCGACGCTGTCGAGTCGTGACATGGCGGGATTTTCTTTAATTTCTTCCTGAAAACCGAAGATTTTTCTCTTCTGTCATCAAGTGGCACCAGATTCTACTTCGAAAGTCCGAAAAATACCTCCTTTTCTTTGTTTTTTCTTCTCCATTTCCAAAGGGAATCAAAACATTAGTTCCTTCTAACTGTCGAAAAAGGCTTATGATTAACCGGGGAAAAAGTTTATTCGAAGTGCTTTTGACGCTGAACACGTGGAAATGATTGTTTACTTGGGGAACAAACTATGCCTTGAACATTTGCAATCCATCTTTTCAACGCATGGATGAATTTTGGCAGACGCGATTCACTGGATATTCTCAGAAACTGATTCTGAAGAGTTTGAAACGGAACCTGAATTTCCCCGACAAGATGAAAATTATTCAGTATGGAATTTTTAAATAGTAGAAATTTTTTTTCCCAATTTCGCATATTTTTGGAACATAAAGTTTAGCACGGGCGCATTTCTACGATTGTGCAGCAAGAACTGGAAACCTTCCTTAAAATACTAGATCCATCTATTGAATACTATTCAGAACTTCCTCCGGATTTTTTTGGGGTGCAGAATAGCTCTTTATAAGCATTGACAATTGTTGCTTATTTGGAGCAGAAACTGCTGACAAATCGAATTCCTTTTCCCCGTTTACCGTCATTTCTTGTACTTCTTGTCTTTGGCCTGCTTTAAAGATTCCAAAAACAAAAATTTCCCGCCTCAGGAGAATTAAATTTAAAATCCATGAATATTCGAAATGAGGCTTAAACCATAATTTTTATTTGCTTAAAACATACTGTTTAAGATCGGTCCGATTTCCGTATAAATATGGTCAAGAGACTTTATTCTGGAAATTCGACGTCTTATACCAGAAAAAAAGTAGCAACTAACAGGAATGTGAAAAAAACAAAGCGAGTTTCACTAAGCCTGGAAAACAAACAATTCTCAGACGGATTTTTAGCGCCAGGAAGTAGAAACTTGTTGAGTTCTCAAGAACTATTCAAAATGTATCGGGGTTCAAGTCTGGATTCAGTACCTTAATTTCACGTTTTAAAAAAAATGAAGAAAAAACTTACAAGAAAAACTTTCCCGCAAAAATATACACATCCTTAGTTTAATTTAAACTTGAAAAATTGTTCCCAAAATACGCCCTGATTAACTGTTGATCCAGACCCAGGATTTTGCACGGTAATCAGTCGCATAATCCCATTTGTCCAGCAAATAAATGCTTTTTCCTACCGTTCGTAGATGACACTGCTGTTCACAAATGAATTTTGCTTTAAATCGTAGCTATTTTTAGTATCACCGCGTCGAAGGCATTCAAATTCAAACCATTCCCATGATTAAAAAAATATATATATATAAAGGGCTTGTACATTTTCATTTTCAACCCACGTTAACGTTGGAACTTCCACAAGGAAACCAAGTGGTAATTCGAAAGAAAACAGCTGCATTGGAGACACAAGCGGGGAAAATGTCGCCGTGCACTCGTATTTTGGCACGAAAAAGGTTACAAAATAAAGAAGCACGAAATGAAAATTTGGCAAGCTCTGAAGCATTTCGCATTGGCAGTCGACCTCAGACAGGCTCTGTTGCAAACAGCACATCGCAGAGGATCGAAACATTCTTCTCACGAAAGAAAAAAATGCATTCCGCACGAAGGAGTACCAGTTGCTGAAAATAAATTCCGAGCACGAATTTCGAAGAAAATATTAAAATTTAATGCTCAGCATTTTCAAAAGCAAAGTAGGAAAAATTATGAATTTATTCGAGAATCACCGACTAAAAAACTGGACAGTAATCAGAACAGAAATACAGCAAGCTATTCGACTCACAAATTAAATTTAAAATTTTAATTGCAGATCCGCTGAAAAATTACACCAGCAAAAAATCTGCTTCCAGAGATTTGAAAATCCAATGAGAGCCGCACATGTCGAAGTTTCAAAAATATTTCTAGCATTGTTAACTACAAATGAGACAATAATTTGATCTAAAATTCTGAACAACTCCCTTCCTTTCGAGAGACAGTAAAACCAGGGTTTTAATACGTAAGAAAACTACAGTAGTACTGTATTACATATAATATTTGCAAGTAAAACAATTGAATCCTGACAAACATCATCTTAAAGAGATAAAAACATTTTCATGTCGGAAATGCCTCCATGAAAAATGAGAACAACATAAAGAATCTAAAATCTGAAGAGGTTGAAATTATTTCTATTTATCTAAAATTCGTGCTTCGAAGTTTCGCCGAATACAGAATTTTTGGACGTGAAATATGAACGACTGATATTAATTGTAACTTTCAAGCGTCCAACTTTTTCTCGCTCGCTAAATTCCAATTTCAAATTAAAGCACCACATATTTTCAAACACACAAAAAAAAGGTTGAAAGAAAAAAAAAAGTCCCACACGGAATTTCCCAGCAAAGAATCGATCCCAACCTTTTCTGTTCCTCAAAACGAGGTCAGTTCTACATTAGAAAAGGCCTCTAATTAAATCTCACACGCAGTAACCCAGAAAATACGACGATTAAGGATAACCCGTGTGATCTGGGTCGTGATTTGAAGAAGAAACGTCACCAAAGGGACCCGACTGATGCCGACACAAAAGTCAGTGGCACGGAACAGTACTTGGACCCCCAACCGAAACCCCTCGAAGACTGATCCCTGGTTAATCACTCGATGCTGATTCACTCCCGAGGATAAAACGAATAATTTCCTTCATCTCAATAAAACATATTCCATTATTTGATCAAAATTTCACAAAACTTGCAGCACTGAAAAAATCCCTTGTAATATTTTTGTACCATTTCTAAAGAAAGATTGCCCAGAAAATTTTGGACTGATTTTCAGACAGCAAAATCACTCCAAACACAGGGGAACCAAAAAGAATTCGGAAACAAAATTGGAACAAAGAATTTACATACCAGCGACATCTAGACACGCTAAAATTTTCTTCGTCGCAATAGAATTCTCGAAAAAAGAAAGAAAAATTACCAGCGAACATTAACAAATGCTTAACTTCACAAAAAATACTCCGAAACCCAAAAAAATGATCGAAAACTTTGAAAAATCATCAGCGAATAAAATTCCAAAAACACTTTTTTTGGCACGGATAATTTCCGATGAAATAACGCACACAGGTTGCGGATGGAATTAAATATTCAATAAAATTCCGGAACACACCAATAAACCGTGTTTCGACGGTTACTGCGCAAAATTCTTTTTCTCGCAAAAATGCACACCTCACCTGATAAATGGAACTCCGGGCATCCACAGAATCACTGATGAGCTCGAACAAACTGACCCATTCAGCCTGCAAATCCCTCACGTTATCATAACCACTAGCAGGCATTTCCCGACCCTTTCCCAAAAAAAAAGAGAGAAGCCCGATAGTCTCACATATTCGCACAGACAAACAACAAAAAATTCGTCGCACTTCCGCTTTGATCCCGAAAAAAAAAAAAGTCACGCGTTATACCGGAACCACAGATTCCCAAGACGTCGAAACGAAGAACGCGGAAAAAACAGCTATTTTTCCCACGTTGACACGTATCATTCGATGCGGAAAAATGCAAGCAAATTTCTTCTTCGTCGTGGAATGAGCCATAGAAAATTTTTTATCAACACTTCAGAAAACTCGCGAAAACCGTGAATCACTTGTGACATGTTTGTAGTCGAACAAACATTTGGAAATTCCACCTTTAGAATTCCAGGAAAATATCTACTACATTCATACGAATATAAAATGCACTGTGATCGATTCCATGACATAACTGTAACATGAATTTTCAAACTAAAAAATGAATCGAATTTGCCGACGGATATAAAATCAGTTGGATTAAAATATGCTGTTAAGTACAAGTGACACTAAAAACTGCATCAGTTTTTTAAGCAACATCTTCTCGAAACAAAATTATTTCTAATACATTATTGATAGTAAACAATCCGCTCAATTACCGTTCAAGCGAAAAACCTCAACAATGCCACATCTTTTTTTAAAGTTGTGATTTCATTTTTATTCGACGATGATTGAAAAATATTTCTAGTCGTAGGGAAATATTCGACGAGCAAAGGAAATCTTGGGAAATAGAATGAGCAAAACAGCACGAAATAACGTTTTGTAGATGATTTTCAAGCATCGCCGATCGAATAACGCTCAATTGATTTTGTTCAAGTTCGATAAAAAAACAGAAAAATTGACTCTCACAAGTGTGTGAACAACGGTACTTCAAAACAATATTTACTCGAAAACAGTTATCACATTGTTCAGTGAAATGACTCGACGATTAGAATCTCGGTCATGATACTTTTGAAAAAAAAAAATTCCAGTTTCTCAACAAAAGAAACTTGACAGCACGCCAACAACTGGCTACTGAAGCATCCAAAAAACTCAACAAGTGTTGTTAACATCGACCAACAACAGGTGCAAGGAATTCCACCACGTCATCGGAAAAAATTGTCAAAGCACAACATGACGGGGGTTTACGTGGAACAGGAGTCGAACACAGTCTCGAACATTTGTTCCACCTTTCACTGCAGCAAAATACGAACCCCCAGGCAAGGGCACCGTTAGCCTGGGGAAGGTTACTACTTACCTAACTTAATTCTCTTCACTGCGAATACTGACCCATATCTACGTACCAGGATCCCCCACCCTCAGAGCTTTAGCGGGATCTTGGACTTTTTTGGATCCGCTCTTCTATTTGAGGGGTGGGTTGGGATTTGATTCATTGGGACAGTGAAGAGAATTAAGTTAGGTAAGTAGTAACCTTCCCCAGGCTAACGGTGCCCTTGCCTGGGGGTTCGTT